AGGCGGTTATTGTCGAGGGTGGAGGGTAGGGTATAGGGAGTGGGGCTGACGTTGATTTGAGGGAGTGACGGGGAGAGGAGTCGGACTGAGCGGGTGGAGGAGAGAAATTAATTTGGCGGCTGAGGAAGAAACGAAGCAGCAGAGAACCACCCTAGGGTTTCACACCACAAGGTTTCACACCAAAGTTAATTAACACAAATTTCATTTTAATGTTCCATGATCCATTTTTGATTACAAGAACGTTTAAATAGAAGAGAAAATACAGAATTAGAAGATTTCCTAAATCCATCAAATCTCTCATAATCAGCTACCAAATCAAAGCTAAAATTCAAAAATTCAAAATTCAAATTACTATTACAACTGAAAATCAAAACCACAGTGTTGAAACACGGTGCCTCCTGCGCTGATAAACTCGACGAAAATCTCGTGCACGCGTCTGGATGTCCTTATCATTCTTTTCGGGTGGGAGAGAACTCAACCTTGTCGAGTATAAATCAGGATGACTGTCATATTGCTCAAGAAGATCTGGATCCAGGCTGTGTAAGTCACCCCTATCGAGCCAAGTATCATCAGACTCAGGTCGACCTTTCCAACGTACCAAGTACCTGTGGATACCATCATTGCTAGTAGAAACAATGTTATCATCAATAATAGTATCAATGTCATGTGCTGTATATGGGGTGATATCTGGGGAAATGGAGGTAAAGGGGAGCTCTCAGAAATAAGCTCAGGGGTAGGCTCATCAACTAATGGGTTGTCAGGGTTAAAATACGGGCCTTTGTACTATACCAAATCCTTAATATTAAAAGTCGAACCAATATTAAAACTCCCAGGAAGGTTGAGAACATAAGCATTATCATTAATTTTCTTGAGAATTTTAAAAGGTCCTGCACTTCGTGCATGCAACTTTTTAACAGTTCTCGGAGGAAACCGTTCCGGACGTATCCGGACCATCACGTAATCACCAACACTAAATTTTTTAAACCTTCTTAGATCTGCTCGCATTTTATAGTTAGCATCGCTGTCATTGATCTTTATACTGATTTCTTTATGCAGATCATGAATGCGAGATGCAAATGCAGATGCTGACTCACATACTCTATGATGTGCAGACACAGGGACAAGATCTATAGGTTGTCTAGGCTTGTAACCATACACGACTTTAGCTAACTGACACCTATAGACATATTTACAGAGTTATTATAAGCAAATTCAGTAGTAGGCAGATGTTGATCCTAATCCCTAAGATTCTCATCAACTAGCGATCGCAAAAGGTTACCTAAGCTCCTGTTGACTACCTCGATCTGACCATCGGTTTGGGGATGAAAAACCGTAGAGAATCGAAGTTTAGTTCTCATTTTGTGCCAAAGAGTTTTCCAAAAATAACTTATAAATTTAACATCCCTATTAGACAATTGTTTTCGGAAGCCCGTGTAGTTTAACAACTTCGTTAAAGTATAGCTTGGCAACATGAGAAGCATCAGAAGTTTTGGAGCATGATATGAAGTGGGCCATTTTGAAGAATCGGTCTACAACAAGGACATAATCGTGTTTTCTAATTGTCTTCGGGAGTCCTAACACGAAGTTCATACTGACATCTTGCCAGAGACAATTTGGGACAGGGAGAGGAGTGTACATGCCAGTGTTCTGCTTACGCTGCTTAGCTAGTTGGTAGGTCTGACATCGACCCACTAGCTTAACGTCACGTTTAATACTTAGCCAATGAAAACGATATTCAATTGCTTCGACAGTCTTGTTATTCCCAAAATGTCCTACAAGACCTCCAGCATGTAATTCCCAAATCAAGAATTCTCTCAGAGAGAGGTCAGGAATACACAACTTGC